GGATTGCCCAAGCTGCTGCCATCAAAGTTCAGTTTAACAAAGTCATGGGGTGGGGGGATCCAACAAACATTTGAGGCCTTCCTCATTGGAACAAGTTCTGCTATCTCCTCCCACTTTCTTTGCAGCTCATCAACTGAGAATTATGTAAACAGAGCCAAGGTTTTCAGCCAGTGTATAACCCTAATGTGGATGACCTCCAGCATTGCTTCCAAACTTCTCTCCTTATCTGTAAATATTCATGAATTTCTCTCCTCACAAATAGTCCAACAAACTGCAGCCCTCATACACCTCCAGATAAAGTTGGCCCTTTTTGTTGGCCGAAACGGCATAAATGTGAATAGGCTTTGCACATTCGAAGGGGGGGTCCACTTGCATCCAAACAAAGAAGTACACCACTCCCAAATGATGTTAGTGAACCGACAAGAGATTAGTAAGTGATATCCAGACTCATCATCAGCTTTACAGAGGACACACCAGTGAGGACAAAAACAACTATTGGGTCTTTTTCTTTGAAGTAAATCTGCTATGTTAACTCTTTCYARAAAGGCTTMCCAAYAGAAACTCCCAACCTTAGGAGGTATAGGATGACACTACACCTCTTTAACAGGGAAAGACAAGCCAGAAGAAGAAGAATGTGTGAGAGCACGAAAGAAAGAGGCACAAGTGAAAGAACTAGGGGGGTGAGAGTCCAAATTCCACTATCTGCCTTTGTTGGCTCTAGGAACACCCCTTCAAGAATGGATAACAGTGATGAGATACCATCAAGCTCTATGTCCCTAATATCTCTTTGTAGGCCCAAGTTCCAGCCGACCCCAGAAATAGATTTAGAAGGAACAACGAATGAAGACACCGGTTCATTTTTAAAAGTGGAAAGGGCAAAAAGGCTTGGGAGTTGGTCTTTTAGGGTGGAGTCCCCAATCCAAACATGTTCCCAAAAATTAATGAGATTGCTTGATCCATGGAGAAAACAAAGGTAGAATAGCTTGAATAGCTTTCCAAGGAGATGCTCTTGTACTCCTTGCCAGAATCCTAGAGTCCCTTCCATTTGCTGCAACCCCATGAATACTTCCCACTATCTTCACCCAAAGTTTGTCCTTCTCCAGTGAGAACCTCCAAAGCCATTTCCCTAGAAGAGCCAAGTTCCTATTCCTTATGTTCCCGATACCCAAACCTCCCTCCCTCTTACTCCTACAAACCATCTCCCACCCCACCCTATGGTCCTTCTTCTCCTCCCCCGGCTCCTAGAGAAAGTCTCTCATTAGTTTTTCTAATCTACTAGCCACCTTTGTCGGAATCTTGAAGATTGACAAAAAGTAAACAGGAAGGTTAGCTAAAGTAGACCTAATTAGAGTGGTTCTCCCTCCAAGAGAAATAATTTTTCTTCCAAGTTGCTAAATTCTTTTCAAACCTCTCCACAACCGGAACCCAAAACTCACCTTTATGAGGGTTATCACCCAATGGCAAACCGAGGTAATTAAGGGGCCAATTTGCTATTGCACGTTCTAAGATATCTGCAGCCTCAGAGATCTCCCCCGCGCCCATATTTACCCCAACTATACAACGCTTCTCAAAATTCACCTTAAGGTTTGACATTTGCTCAAAAAGTCATATAGTAAGCTTCAAATTTCTAATCCTGTTAAGGTTTGACATTTGCAAATGCGTGAGTGACACAAGCTCCCTCCCAACTCTCCAACCTCTGATTAAGCCCCTGGAATCTGCTCTATAAATTAGTCTCCCCAGAACTTCAGCTACCAAAGTAAATAAAAAGGGGGAGAGGGGGTCTCCTTGCTTAATCCCTCTCAAGGCTGTGAAGAAATCGACCACTGTCCCATTTACCAGTATGGAGTAATGGCAGTTCCTGATACAACCCAAGACCCATTTGCACCAATTATCCCCATAACCAAAATTGGTCATCACCTCCATCAAGAAAGACCAATCCACCAAATCCAATTTACAAATCACCCCTTTTTTCTTGGATCTCTTAAACTCCTCCAGGCTCTCATTTTCTATTAGAATCTGATCTGTTATCTGTCTCCCCTTCATAAAAGCTCCTTGAATATCTGCTATAATTGTTGGGAGCACTTTCCTTATTCTGATGGACAACACCTTGGTGATAATCTTGTAAAGGCTACTAGGCTGATCGGCCTGAAATCCTTTGGGTGACATGCATTCCTCTTCTTAGGAATCAGTGCAATAAAAGTGGAGTTCAGCCCTGGGTTGATCACCCCTCTAGAGTGGAATTCATCAAACACAGTCCACAGATCTTCCTTTAATATCTCTCAGCAATCTTGATAAAAAGCCATTATAAAACCATTTGGGCCTGGTGCCTTTTATCTATCCATAGAGAATATTGCCTCCCTTATCTCTTCCACTTCAAATTTCCTTTCCAACCAATCCCTATCTTCTATTTGCAAAGTTGGCCATTCCACACCCTCAATCCACACCCTACTATTTAGGGGTTTTCTAAAGATAGACCTAAAGTGATTTGCAAAAGCCCCTGTTATTTCTCTTTGGGTGGATTTTGTAACCCCTTCAATCTCCAGACTAGATACAAAATTCCTTCTTCTTCCACTTGCCACCGCATGAAAAAATTTGGTATTCCTATCCCCCTCCTTCAGCCATTTACACCTTGATTTTTGTCTCCAACTTATTTCCTCCTGAAGAAGATAATCCTCTAATTGTTTATGCAATTTCCATCTTAGCTCCTTATCTTCTTCTGTTAGTCAACCCCTTTCTTCCTTGCCATCTAGGTCCTCAATTTGTGCAGTCACTATTTGCTTTCTTTCCTCTAATCTCCCAAATTCTAATAGATTCCACTCCTTGATTTTGCCTTTCAAATACTGGAGCTTTTTATGAAACCTCATTCCACTCCATTTCACTGTTTGATTGCTTTCTAGCCACCACTCTTTGACTTTCTTTATTAACCCCGGGTGTCCTAGCCACATGTTTTCAAACCTAAAGGGAGCAGGACCAGCACTTCTCACTTCCTCCCTACAGATTACAATAGGCCAATGGTTAGAAGTCACCATTGGATATGCTCTAGAGTTTAGATTCCCCCAATGTTCTTCCCATTCATTTGAGAATAGAAATCTATCCAACTTAGAGCAAATCGGGTTCACTTGGAGATTGACCAAGTAAAACAGCCGTGTGATATTGGGATCTCTTTAAGCTCGTAAACATCCACAAATTGATTGAATTTCCTCATACTCAAGGTCGATCTCCGCTTTGGACTGTTTGTCTTTTCTAGGAATCTTATAACATTAAAGTCACCTCCAAGGCACCAAGGCCCTTCCCATAGTCCCCTTATATCGGCCAGTTCTTCCCACAACTTCCTTCTCTCTCTATAATCATTTGGACCATATACATTGGTAAGCACCCATTCAAACCCATCCTCCACTTGTTTAAACTTCAAGGAAATTGAAAATTGGCCTATTAACTCTTCCTGACCTATGAGTACTTCATTCTTCCACATTGTGACAACACCCCCCACAGACCCCCAAGAAGGCAGAGCCGCCCAGCTAATCCCCCTGCCACTCCTTGCCCACCTAATGTCAAAATCTGCTCTCTTGGTCTCCTGCAAAAGTACCACATCTGGGTCTGTTTTCTTGATGGCCTCTTTTATTACTTCTCTCTTCCTAGCACTTCCCAAACCTCTGATATTCCAGCTTAAGATCCTCATCTAACTATCTTCTTTCCCCTTAGACCCTCCTGCCCTCAGGTATTCCTCTTCCTTCTTTCTCCTTTGACCTTCAAACCTCTATCTCCTCCCACCTCCTTTAGCAGCCTTTCAACCTCACTCACTCTTCTCCTTTTAGATTTTGCTTCTTCTTTCTTTGTTTTCAAAAATACTTTGAGAGCATTTGGATCTTTCAATTTGCACCCCAATTTCTGTACAAAACCCACCACAGAATCCTCACTAATTACACCTCTTACACGACTTTCTACTTCCCTCCCCTGTTTTTGTCTCCCCCCTTCTATCTCTTTCCTCCTCAGAACCCTCTACTCTAACTCCCTCTAACCCTTCCTTTTGACTGTTTTCCACCACTGCTTTAACAGACACTCTAGGATTTCCAGGATTCTTTTCTTTTTTTCTATTTCTCCTTCATTCCCTACTTCTCTCCTGACCCTCCTTGTCGCTTCTATTTTCTCTCACCCCATCCCCTCCTTCAAGGACTGCAGCCTCTGGGTTGGGATCTGTATTTGGCACGGAAGTCAAAGAGCAACAGTTAGTATCACAAAATGAAAGGACACGGTTACCTGGGTTGTGGTGGGGAAGACTGGGAGTGCTGGAGTTGGATACAGAAACAGTCTGGCCCTGACAAGGAATGTGGGTTCCAAGGCTTGGTTCTGATTAGTTAGCCTTTCCGGTCACCTCTGTTAAATAGAGATCACATCTCTTACCCACCTGTTTATGCCTCCCCACTGAGCCTTTATGATTTCGTTGTGTATTTGCATGCCTTTCTTTTCTTCTTTTTTTTTCCCATTATTACTATGTCTTTCATATTTTAAATAAATCTAAAGCAGCCCTTTGCCCTCTGAAGTCTATATATTGCTTCTAGAAATGCGGAAGCAGTAGTCCTGGTTTTGTGGAAATCCTTGATATAATGCTTCTAAAATTCTTTTGTGGTTTTCTTTGCTAAAAAATGCTTCAAGTTGGTTGAGAATCCAGTCCTTAAGTGTATGTGTGTTTCTTTTGAAATGAGAAACTATCATAAATAAAGTCCTTTTAATAAATTTATGGTTGTTAAGTGGATAATTTGCGTGATTTTAACAGCTGTTTCTTGGACAAAACTTGTTATATTTCTTTTCTTTGGCACTGATATGAATCCTGTAAAATGCTTTTTCATGATGTGAATTATTCCACTGTTTTCATTTATTGCTTCCATATGCTTTTAACTGTATGTGAAAAAATAATATTCTATGAATGATAGTTATGAGAAACTGTTATGTTTCAATTTGACATGGTTAGCTATGCAACTAGCTTACTGCCTGTGCCTTTTTTTTTTGCAGATATGTAATGCTGTGGCTGTGGCTAAAATTATGAATGCCACCCTTATTTTGCCATTGCTAAAGCAGGACCAGATCTGGAAAGATCAAACGTGAGATGTCATGACTGCTCTTTGTTATGTTCCTAACTGCAGCTCCTAAATTAATGAATGTAGTATACAGGATACTGCATGGATACTTCTAGAATTTTTTTTGAAGGCCATGGATACTTCTAGATGTATTCCATAGCATTAACACTTTTAATTTGTGTAAAATGGTATGTTTTAACAAATCATAATATAAAAAATCTGCATATGTTATAATTTCATTTAAATTGGCAAGTTTTTTTTTTTTTTTTGATAGATTAAACTGGCAAGTATAAGTCTTGAGAAATGACATTAGCTTTAAAAAACTAGATATAAGCATATTACGTGGGATACCAATATCCTTACCCTTATCCCCATCCAAACTTCACCTCAAACTGGTGGTGTCAACATCAGTTGTCTACAAGAAACTCATACGAGCATGTGTCATAGATTTAGTGAAGAGATCAGCAAGTTGAAGTTCCGAGGAGAAATGCAGAAGGGTGTTAGTGCCTGTAAGAAGCTGATTGGGGATGAAGTTACAATCAACCTTAGTGTGTTTGGCGCATTCATGAAAAACAGGATTGGAGGCAATATGAATAGCACTCATGTTGTCTATATAAAGTGGAGGGTGAGAAGAAGATGAAGTTATTGAAGAAGGCACATTAGTCATAATCTCGCTACATGTAGCAGACATGGCACAATATTCAGCCTTTGCAGATGATTTTGAGACTGCTGGTTGTTTCTTACACTTCCATGAAATAAGAGATTGTCTAGAAAGATACATCAACCAGTTGTGGAGCAATATGTATCAGTGCAGCTAGCCCTATCAACATCTGAGTGTGCACAAAGATGAATTGTTAAGATGGAAAAAATAAGCATCACTCTGATGTTTCATGTGGATACCAAATAATCTGACGAATAGTTGTGAGATGTGGATGACGAGGAGAAGAGACCAACTGACTAACGACTTGAACAACATGAACAATGTTGGTGCAAATCATGGTGAGATAAATAAGACTTCTAACAAGATTTTTATGTGAGGAAGGATCTTGTAGAGGTTCTCCATCATCATGAGAAAGTTTGGCATTGAGTTCCACGGGGGTGTCAACTTGCTTGGAGTCCATGATATGAACAAGTTGAATGAGATCCATTGTATACTTCTGTTTATTGCCTAAATGACCATGGGAGGAAGAGTGTGCCTTCAAACTAAGGAAGTAAATCATGGGCCCAGGGTCTTTCCTTTTGAAGGATTGCTATAATAGTACTTTAAGCTGTTGAATACCATCAACATCATCCCCTGTGATGAGAATACCATCCACATAAACAAGCAAAGGGATTGAGGGCTCGGGAACAGTGAGGAATGAATAGAGAGGAGTCATAGCTGCTCTATTGATAGCCTACCTCCACAAGTACATGACAAAATTCTCAAACCAAGAATGAAGAGCCTGTTTTAAATCATAAAGTGATTTCTTCATATGACACACAAGGTGTTGATGTGTATAATACCTATGAGGAGGTTTCATGTAAACAGTTTCCTTTAGAGTACCATGAATGAAATCATCTTTTTTGACAAGTGCCAGGAAGGAAAGCATCTTTTTTGAAAAGTGCTATGAAGGAAAGCATCTTTTTTGACAAGTGCCATGAAGGAAAGCATTGGTGACATCCATTTGAAACAAAGCCATAGAGCAGATAAAGCAAGAATGAGATGGACAATGGTCATCTTCACAACTGGAGCAATGGTGTCTCTTCATAATCTATCCCAGATTCTTGAGTGTAACCTTGAACCACCAAGTGAGCTTTGCATGTATCAATACTTCCGTATAACTTGAGTTTGACAGAGAATACCCATCTGCTACCAATAGCAGTAGTATTGGAGGGAAAGGGACCATATCCCAACTATCATTTTCAATTGGAGCAAGCATCTCATAATCCATAGCCTTTATGGATATGGTTTCTTGGTGCTAGCTACTGCTGGTAGCTGGCTGATTTTCTATTGTATATAGCATTTTTTCATATTTAATGAAAGTTTCTCGCTACCCATAAAAAAAGGCCTTGCAGAATCACATAGCTTGGAATAACCCAGAAATTTTCAGGTGTCAAAATAGGGCAAAAGGAGATGCTAACAACCCCACTTAACAAAGCACAATCCCTTGTTGCATTCAATGGTCCAAAAGGTCTACAAAAAATGGTAAGGAATCTAAGTTCCCTTTTCCAAACACCATCAAACAAGTGAGATACATGAGAGAGATCAGAACTTCTGTTTGTGTATTTTCTGTTTTTAGCAGATCTGTAGATCTGATGTTTTACCCCAAAAGTGAGATCAGAAATTTCAGAAAAAAATGTCTAATAATCCTTTAAAAATACCTTTTATCAAAACCTAAACTGAAACTTGGATTCAAACACAACTTTAATCCTCTCTCAACAGTACCTGGTCCAGTGATTTAAAAGGTGCGCCTGAGGCGCGCCTAGGCACATTTTGGGGTATGCGCCTCGCCCAGGTCCTAGGCGCACCTCTTTCAAAAGGCGCGCGCCTAGGCGTGCACCCGATGCGCCTTGTGCCTTTTTAAAATTTTGCACTTTTTGCTGTTTTTTGAGTCTAACGGCTGGGCCGGGGGCTCCGCCCCCGGACCCCCGACCACACCCCTCAAGGCAAGCTCGAACAAGTCTATGTTAGGGTCTGAAATTCTTATTTCTCACATAAAAAATAATGATTTTACAACTTTCATTGCCTTTTAAGAAGATATTTTATTGCAATGAATGAATGAACAACATAAGCAAATAGGGGGTTCTCGAAGCTTCGGTGAGTGAGCGAACCTAACATAGACTTGTTCAGGCTTGCCTCGAGGGGCGTGCTACAAAGGCGACTCATAGAATCAAGAATGCAATTTTTAGATCACATTAACTACTTGAAGCAATGCACTTAAGGAAAAAAAGAGATTACGGGTTTTACATGCTTGAAAATGCTTTATATGTTTGCTTTTATTTTTAAATTTTCATTTGAATACACTTTACATGTTATGTTTATGTATTTTAATTTTAGATAATAGGTCTTTTAAATCATTTATTTTAAAATTTAAGTTTATATTTTTATTAACATTATGTTTAATATTTTTGCATTTTTTTTAAATTTTTGGCATGTTTTTGGAATTTTCTGACTTTTTTTTTTATTTTTAAGCTTTTTTTTTGGGAATTTTGCGCCTTTCTTAAAAAGGCGCGCGCCTCGCCTTGCACCTTGCGCCTCAGGCGCAAATTGGCCCTTGCGCTTTTTTTGCGCCTGTGCTTTTAAAACACTGACCTGGTCCTTACAGTCATTGCAATGCTAGCTGCTAGTTTATACTGAGAAAACCCTATTCTCAGTATAATCTAGAACCCTATTCCTGCTGCACATAGGTCGAACCATATTCTCTCATAGGATGCAAGCAAATAATCTAGAACCAACCAGACTCTGAGACCATATCAACATATCAACGTATATAGGGTTTCAGTAAGAAATGAAGAAAGGAGGTGTATTCAATGAATACCACACACCTCCAAAAAGGGTTGTTTTATTAGAAGGGCAAAACATGTATACATACAAAACTGCCCCTGAATCTGATAAGTCAAATACATATAGAAGCCAATATGTACAGGGTAATATCAATACATCAAGATAAAATAAAATGTTATTTACAATACTGTCTGCACAAATAAATGTTTTTAGTTAATTATCAAAAATATAAGGGTAAATTTCTGAAACCTCCCCTGAACTTTCTGACAGTTGCAAGCAGACCCCCTCTGGTAGAACCGTAGAATCTTCTAAAAAGAGGCATAAAAATGTCTAAAATACCCATGCAGTTGCTTTTGACAAAAATGTTTATTTTCCAAATTTTCTATTCATATGAATCACTACCCCAAACCCTTCCAATCTCTTTTCTGAAATTGATTTATTTTTCAAATTTGCCCATCATATCAATCACTCAAAGGGATGCAACTTTAAATTCTCTTTGTTTTTATTGTTCATAAAGTTTGTATTATTTTTTTGGTAAAAACCAGCTTCAATAGTAACTGAATGGATATTTTGCGCATTTTCATGCCCTTTTTAGAAGATTCTATCAGAGGGGGTCTAATTGCAACTATATCAGAAAATTCAGGGAGGTGATTGCAATAACTAAACTTCAGGGGAGGTTTCAGCAATTTACCCAAAAAATAAATTTATTTTGTTGCAATATCAGGAGGGCCCATTGGTGTTTTTTTTTTTTTTTATGTATAGGTAACGGTAACTTTCATTAGATAAAACCATAAGAAACAACTGTCACCTTCCAAAGTAAAAGGTGACCCCTGAATTGTTGGTTCGACTGTTATGAGTGTTTAAGTTGGTCTTATTTGTGTCTTATGTTCTTAGTTATTGGGCTTAAATCTGTTTAATGTTTTAATTGTTTATTTGTCTAGGTGTCCCATCACTAATCAGGGGCATTCTAGTCCGTTCATGTAATATTATTTTATAATCATCTATGTAAACTTGTTGGGTCGGCTGAAGAGTTTAAGCCGCCTCTCTCAGATCTTCTTCTCTTCTTCTTCCTCTCCCTCTTCTTCGACTGCTGTAATCCAGCAAACATGGTATCAGAGCAAGGTTCRTTTGTCTGATTACAGCCGTCACCTTTTGGTCCTTCTCTTTTTTTCCTTTCTTTTCCTTTCTCTCTTCTGTCTTGGTCGCTGTGAAGAAACCCTAGGGCTGACCGTAGAGCACAGCAAGGTCTGTATCTAGGGTTTCCCTTGGTTGTAGGGCCCAAGGGGAGTTTGTTCCAGAAATCGATGCCCTACTAGACACCTTACAGCAGGTAGTAGCCATTCGGCTGCTAAGAGAGATCTGTGTGGAACAGATCTAGGTGGAAGGGCCGACTTCGACAGTCCTAGTTCAGTTCATACAGTTGGTCACAGTCTACTACAGCAGAAATCAAAGTCCAGTCCAGTCCAGAAGAGTTCTGCACTGTACAGAAGTGGAATGTTCTTGGTTTCAGTTCTGTTACAAGGAGTTTTCAGGCCTGCAACAGCTTCGGTAAGTCTGAAACTGTGCTCTTTGCACTGAGTTTTTCAATTGTGATCACTGTAAGAGGAAGGAGATRTCTTCAATATYGGGRGAAGTGTCTTCTAGGGATAATAGACCTGGTGGGAGGTCTCCTAATCTGGAAAATCCAAATCTGCACAGCTTGCAGATCACCATTGTACTGTTAGATGAATATAATTTCAGAGAATGGTCTGTTTCAGAGAATGGTCTGTTTCGGCTGAAGAGTTTAAGCCGCCTCTCTCAGATCTTCTTCTCTTCTTCTTCCTCTCCCTCTTCTTCGACTGCTGTAATCCAGCAAACATGAATAACAAAAATCTTACAACACTGCACAAAACAAAAACTCCGGATTCACCCCCTGTTTTGCTAGGTAGTCAGCTAAAGCATTTGCTGACCTCCTAGATCAATACACTTTTGCATCCAGCTCCCTTGTGAGGCTCAATAATTCCCTTACCTGTTGTCTAAGGGACCACATTCCCAAACTGCTTGATTGCAGCCCTCCTACTACTAATTTTGAATCCCCCTCCACTTCCAACTGTTGGAAACCCAATTGCTTGGCCCATCTGAGCCCCTAGAGGAGTGCCAAAACTTCAGCTCTAAGCGAGTCCCCCACACCTATTGGGCAAGAATACAAAGCTAGGATTTTTCCTTCCGTATCTCGAAACACACCCCCTATTTCAGAAGGTCCGGGGTTCCCAATAGAGCTGGCATCAAAGTTCAGTTTGACATGACACTGCAAAGGAGGGGATCAAACTGCTTGTATGGTAGGTGATGAAGTAGAAGATCTTGCTAAAATATTCCAGCCTCTAATCAAATCATCTGTGAGACATCCTTGAACAAGTCAAGAGTTCTCAGCCAATGTACAGCCTTGATGGCGATCCCTTCAATAACTTCAGGAGCTGATTTTTCTTTCCCTTGGAAAATCCTATTGTTTCTCTCTTCCCATACTGCCCACAAGATAGCTGCCCTCGTTGTTCTCCACATCACCCTTCCTTTCTTCTTTGGTTGTCGGAAAAAGCTAGGGTCAAATAAATCCGCTACACTTGTGGGAGGATTCCACCTACAATCAAAGAGAGAGGAGAACCAATCCCAAATTAGAGCACTAAAAGGACAAGAAATTAATAGGTGATTCACCGTCTCACCATTCCTCAAACAAAGGCTATAGACATGAGGTGACAAGCACCAATTTGGTCTCTTTCTTTGAAGCACCTCCAAGGTATTGATTTTTTGGAGAATCACTTCCCAACAAAAAGCCCTTACTTTTGGGGGGACCGAAGTGCTCCAAACTTCTTTAACAGGAAAAGAGGAAACCRGGTTAGAAGGAAGGACCAAAGCATTGAAAAACGAAGAACAAGAAAAACTACCTGTAGAAGTTTCTGCCCAAACTCTACTGTCCGGAGAGGAGTGGTCTAGAAAAACTGAACTTAGAAGAAAAAAAATTTCAATTGCTGACTCCACTTCTGAGTCCCTAATCCGCAAGTCCTCCCAAAAAAGAATTTTATTACCCACACAAACATCATACCTGATGAAAGGATAGAAGAAAGGTAAGATACCAACAATATCTTTCCACGGGGAAAAACACGAAGCCCTTGGGTCGAGTCCAGCATCCCATCCATTTGTTGCCATTCCATGAATACTTCTTGTCACCCTATGCCACAGACTCTCTTGCTCCTTAGGAAACCTCCATAACATTTGCCTAACAAAGCTGCATTTCTTATTCTAATATTTCCAATCCCTAAACCCCCTTTGTCTTTCTTTCTAGACATCACTTCCCATTTTACCCTATGATCCTTTTTGGTATCTCCAGTCTCCCACAGAAAATCTCTCATTATTTTTTCAATCTGGTTTGCAATCTTAACAGGCAATTTGAAGGTAGACAAAAAGTACACTGGCAAATTTGCTAGTGTTGACTTAATTAGAGTGATTCTACCCCCCAAAGAAATGTAGTTCCTTTTCCTACCCGCTAGTCTTTTTGAGAATCTTTCCAAGACTGGGTACCAAAAGCTAACAGACCTCGGATTTCCTCCCAAATGTAAGCCTAAATACTTAAAAGGGCCATTCACTTACCTCACAACCTAGAGATCTAGCGAACGATGCCCCCTGACCTTCTTGCCTATTAATTCCAGCTACACAACTTTTATTCCAATTTACTCTCAAGTTGGAGACCTTTTCAAAATTCTCTACCAAGACCTTTAAATTTTCCAACTCCTCCGGATCTCCTTCACAAAAGAGAATCAAGTCATCGACAAATTGAAGGTGGATTACAACTATTTCCTCCCTCCCTACTCTCCACCCTCTAATCAAATTTCTAGCATCAGCTCTAGTAATCCGGGCACTCAACACATCTACTATCAGGGACAAATACCTTAGAAATGAATATTCAAAATTAAGTTTATGGACAAATACCTTAGAAATAGGAGGTTTTAGAATAAGTTGGATTAAAACAGAATATATGATATCTAAATTAAATAACATGAAGAGTGAAAATCAGGGTATACTTAGGATTAGAGATCAAGGGATAACTCAGTGTGACCTTTTCCAGATTCCAGTAACTTGGTTTGATAATCCATAACAAGGGAGAGAGGTTTAGGAGGATGTCATCCATGGGATTATAGTAGGGTGGGAAAAATGGAGTGCATCTGGAATCTTATGTGATAGGTGAATATCACTTAGATTAAAAGGAAAATTCTAGAAAACTATTGTAATGCCTGCTTTGTTGTATGGAGTAGAGTGTTGGGCAGTCAAGAAACAACATGATCGAAAAATGTGTGGGGCAGAAATGCATATGCTGACTTGCTGAGATGGATGACTAGAAAAATCGGAAAGGATAGGGTGAAAAATGATGTCATTTGAAAGAACCTAGGAATAGCTCCAATAAGTGATAAAATGAGAGAAAGTAGACTAAGATGGTTTGGTCACATGCAATGAAGACCTTTATCTGTTGCAAGTTAAAGGGGCTAGAAGGGGTAGGGTTGACCAATGTTATGATTCGGCCTGCCTTAGAATTCTATCTGTTTGAGATCGGTTAGGTAGAAAGAGGTAGAAAGGTGGAAGAAAGAGAGAAAGAGAGAAGGGGAAATTCTGGTTCGAACTGGAAGTTTCAACATAACCTTCTCCCAATCGGCCAGACAGAACTTATATTATTAAAAATGATTGAAAAGACATATGTGCCCTTATTTAAGTTAGGAGCACTGGTTTCAACACAACATTACAGATCARCAACATTAATCTAGGTATAAAGACAGAAATACCCCTACGCTAACAACCAAAAAGGACATATGTCGAAGTATTAAGAAATGATTTAAGTGCTAATAATTTAACAATAGATATGGCATTAAGCAGAATGGAATGGCGAAACAGGATTCATGTAGCCAACCCCATATAGTTGGGATAAGTCTTGGATGATGATGACATAACCTCAGTTTCCCTAGTCTTATACTGAATTGCTTGAAAAAAAACAACTTATTTTCTGTTTCAGGTCTTAACAATCTCTTGAGCTCCTGAAGTTGTGCAAAATATCCTTCTTGGTGTTTGAAGAAGTGAATAGCTGTAATTGTGCATATCACTTCTTTCACTTGAGAAACTCCTTTGGACATCTTGGGCTAGACCATATAATTTTGATACAGTTAAGTCTGCATAACTTCCCAACCTCATCACATCTCTCAATTCCCTATCCTCTTCCCCATCAATCCCACTTCTAGACTCTCCAGCCTCTCCATTCTCTGAAAATTTTGCAGTATCTTTTAGTTCTCTACTTCTCTTTGCCTGCTTTTGCTTTTTACTACATAAATATTTTTCTTGCAGATTTTTTCCAACTAGAAAAAGCTCAATTCCTTTCCAACTTAAACCTTTCTATCAACCACCATCTTCAAATCCATTTTCCTATTTAACTGAGTAGTTTCAGGCTTTCAGCAAGTGGAATAGCATCTTCATCACCTTCCTGCTTTGTTTCCTCATTTCCTACAATACATCCAAGTTTGAACAACTCATTTTCAGTTTTATTGTCATTCCATACAATATGTCCATTGGATTTCCTGGTTCACTTATGATCCTGTTTTTCAAATATTTGGCAAGATATGCTCAACTCATCAGTTTGGAGAATTGTATCAATAGTTTCTTATTCTTAATATTGTATGATTTCATGAAGTCTTATACGTGCTTTCCTTCATTTCTTTCATGATAATTCCACAGGAAATTTGAGGACATCTTTGATGTAGATCATTTCATTGACTATTTAAAGGATGACGTTCGAATTGTTCGTGACATCCCGGATTGGTTTCCTGACAAATCAGAGTTATTCACAAGTATAAGGTTTTATACCTTCTTATTTCTGGTGCTTATTCTATGTATGATTAGTAAACTAAGTAGTTGGAAACATCCTGTATGTTGAATATAGAATCTTTCTGCTATTTTTATCCCATATGAAGGAGTATCCTTTTCATTTGTTGTGTTGTGTGTGTGTTTGGGGGGGGGGGGGTCTTTTACTAGGTTTGGTCTTCTGCTTTGAAGACCACCTACTATACCTATAAAAAGAATTTACATGTTGCAAGTTGAAGGATCCAGAAGAACTAAGGATTTTCCAAAAACGACTTGGTTGGGGACCTTGGGGTAGTGGGAAATGAGTTCGAGAGCTCACTATTTAACAATGAATATGGCCCTTGATAGAGGGAATGGCATAATAGGATTTATGTTCTTTATAAATGGTGAAATTTATTGAAGAAAAAGCAGGGAAAACCCTAAAAGGAAGTACAACAATGGTTAATGAACTAGAACTATGATTGATAATTACAAAGCATTGAACAACATAGAACCCAGCATTAAGAAGTATATCCTCCCAATGATCCCCAATCTGATTATATGTACAGCCATGAAATTCCTTCAAAATGAGAAGCCATTGAACCATTGTACTCTTGATTTTCTGAATTAGGATCTCCCTGAATGCATTTTCAACTAAAAAATCCTTATGTTTCTTGCAAAACATATACCCCAGCATAGAGCAAAAGGAAGCAGATTCCATAGTTGGAACTTGGAACAGTTATTTGTTGAATTGAGTTGAGTGTGTTTCTTTCAGTAATGTTTTTGTTTTGTGCAGTGTGGTGAGACTCGGACCATTTACAAAACCAGAAAGGCCACTCACAGGTCAAATGGTCTGACCACTGAGTTGACCCTGTGATCTGTGATGCAATTTATATAAAACACAATATATTGTATATTCAACATGTGTACTAGTGGTGGTCTGATGGTTATTTTTCTTTTTATTATTCAAGCGATTCAGGTTCAAGTCTTTCAAATCATGTTTTTGCAAAAATATATACATATTCAGTCATATGCATTAAATAAACAAAAACAATAAAAAATGATGTCATGGTTAATGGTAAAACATGATTCTTCATAAGTGACAGGTCATAGGTTTGATTACTTTTATTGTTATTTTATAACTTATGATGAAGCAATGACCCATCCTGGTCATAGGAAACTGTTATGTTGCTCAAATGTGGGTGATTTTCAATGGTTTCGCTGGGTTAATAATAGTAAGCTTGACAGATTTTGGAAATAAAAGCTGGCATTCTAGAAACCGGAAATCCAACTGGCTCCTGAGTCTGACAGTTTTAGCATCTAGTCTGGTCCCAAGTCTAGCAACACTGATTTCATGAATTTAAATAACTTTTTTTTGAACCTTTTTTTTTTACATAGATAATGGGGTAATTTATTTAAAATAAAGGCCTAACCAAAAAAGAGAGGAAAATACAAAGCACAGGTCAATATTCAATACATTGGTGTGGTGGCTTTAGATCACTACATTCAAATTGCTTCATAATCACTAGAGGATAATTAATCCTTCTTTTGTCCTTATCTATCTAAGGAACCCAAAGGAAGTTAGCAGATCTAGGAGTTTTGAAAAATGAGATGTTTATCTTTGAAGCCAAAATTCTAATATGCTTATTACATAATTAATTTGGAAAAAAAAAAGAACCAGGTATGTTTGATAAATCCCACCATTGTCAGCCTAGCGCTGTGTTTTGTGATCCCCTTTTACCGATCTTAAAGGAAATGGGGTCTAATATCATTTTGTTGAAGCTTTGATAAAACTGTTTTGATTGCTGTTGATGATAAAGAAAGAAATATCACCATTGTTTCCTGCCTGAGAAGTTAATTTTGGAAGATGATGCATCAAAAGGTAATAGTAAAGAAGAAGAAATAAACAGTGCAACTTGGGTGGGTCTGGGTTAAGCATGTGTTAAATCTTGTAAGGGGCCTGGCTAAGGCCTGGACCCTGTGCAGTTGAAATTATTCAACTGGGTATGAATTTACATCACTAAATTGTTCATTTTACTAACTTTTGTTTTTCAGTTTCCTTGCTTACAATTTGACAATTACCTTCAGAAAATATCTGATTTTCTTCAGATTAAAAAATGTAAGGTCATGATACACAGAAGCTTGTAGAAGGCAACTAATGCAATCTTCAACAAGAGGGGATACTTAGAGGGATGCTAGCTCCTTCCTTTGTGAATACCAAATGGTGACCATGGACTCCAAGAAACACCTGTAGACAAAGAACCAACTAGTTTTTAAGAGCTAAAAAAGTAAAAAAGAAAAATATTTTGTTCAGAGTGTTCTAGTTTTCCTTCTTTCTTTTAAATGGTTCTTGGCTGGAGAGGTGCTGCTGGTGATCCAAGGGGACCACTGCAAACTTGCATGGTTCACCAGTCATTGCTTCATTGCCTGGGCAACAACTAGTTGATGTAGGCCTAGGGAGGGAAAAATGACTTGGCTGTTGGTAGTGCTTAGCTGCCTTCACTACAGGTGCAGATTCCAGTAACCGATATGTGGCGGGTACATGCTAAAGAAACTTGTCAACATATGCTCTGTCAAAGTGTAGCATGGTTTTTAAGAGAATTTGTGCTTTGTCAACAAATGCTCCCACCTTTTTGTTTTGTCCTTTTAAACTTTACATCTGGAATAACTATACACCAACTTTTTAATTTCTAAGAGAATTTGTGCCATTTGTGGCAGGCGTACAGTTAAAAACATACCAAAATATGCCTCAGCACAATTCTATATTGATAATGTTCTGCCCCGGATTAAGGAGAAGAAGATAATGGCTCTAAAACCTTTTGTTGATCGGCTTGGGTAAGTCATGGATGTTGCAACTCTTATACTTGCTCGCTTGATCAATTTTTGCTAATGTTGCTCAGTTGTGGAACTTTTTTTTTTCTTTTGCTCGCGAGCATACCACCAATATTAATTTGTTTCATTCAGGTATGATAATGTTCCACCAGAGATCAACAGGCTAAGGTGCAGAGTAAATTATCATGCTTTGAAGTTCCTACCAGAGATTGAGCAGATGGCTGATCAATTGGCCTCAAGAATGAGAAACCGTACAGGCAGTTCAAATCCTTACATGTGAGTGACATGGGGCTGCTATCTTCAACAACTCCTCACCATCTTACTTGTAGTTGTTATTTTTGATGTGATAGATCTCTTTAACAGGGCCCTTCATTTGAGGTTTGAGAAGGGGATGGTAGGTCTATCCTTCTGTGATTTTGTTGGAACAAGAGAGGAAAAGGCTAGGATGGCAGAATATAGAAAGAAAGAATGGCCTCGACGGTACAAGGTGACTTGGGATAGAATTAATTTGGCAGTATGGTCTTTGTCAAAATAGAAAGAACCATTGGTGGATAATATGATTTTCCTTTTCTGAAATTACTTTGTCATGCAGAATGGATCCCATCTTTGGCAGTTGGCACTGCAGAAACGGAAGGAAGGCCGATGCCCTCTTGAACCTGGGGAAGTGGCAGTTATTCTTCGAGCCATGGGCTACCCCAAAGAAACACAAATATATGTTGCTTCTGGACAGGTCTATGGTGGACAGAACCGGATGGCACCACTCAGGCACATGTTCCCGAATCTGGTAAGGTTCCATTTGCCAGTTGAAATTCTTTCTATGTGAAGTTGGCTACTTACACCAAAGCCTTAGTCCCAATGTTTTAAGACCCGGACCAGACTGGACAGTCAAAACTGTTAGACCCGGCAGAATTGTTGAAACCGATCCAACTGGTTTCAACGACCCACTCCAGTCAGTAAATTCTCAGAAACCACTAACTCATTTTGTTACTTGTGCTCAAATATTATATCTGTAATTATATATTTTATTAAATACATGTACATTTTTATGAAATGTTAATGGTGAGAATTGAGTTCTGGACATTTGGGACTGAAAATGATAAACTGACCATCGAATCAACATACTTAGACATGTTTTATATATATATATATTAAATATGTGACTCGCAGTCAAACCATTTGACCCATGACCTGGAAGCATTCTGGTTTTGTGTCCGGTCTGAGTCTTACAACATTGCTTAGTCCTGCATGAAAAACTGATTAATGATGGTGTCCTTTCCAATTGTGTTTAGTACCTGATAGGGAATCAACGACCCTATGATGGAATATTTTATGAGTTAGCTGGTGTCTTTCAGAAATTATGAGTCTTACTAACGATCTTATTAAGTTTAAAGAAAAATTCCAGAAATGTTCACATTACTTTTTTTATTAGGGCAAAGAATATTGTGTTACTATAAAAGAGAGCAAGGTGTGCCCGCAAATCTTTACAAAAGGCCATACATGAAAGATGTATCAGTATACAATATAGCAGTGCTCCAATTGGTCAGGTCGCTATTTGTAAATGTATCTTGCCATGGCTGAGTTGTGCAATAGCTTAGAACTGAGTTCAGTTTGCTGCATCAAGGCATTTTACAGAGCCTGATTGAGTAAGCTGATGTTCGTACAGATAGGTGGAGTTGACAGAGGCCAGGTCAAATGGATTCATTAAAATCTTCAATAAATGAAATTGTTAATTTATTCTATTTGGGGGATTATGACAGGTCACCAAAGAAGAATTGGCAAGCAAAGAGGAATTGGATGGTTTCAGAAAGCATGTGACAAGCCTGGCAGCCCTCGACTTCTTGGTCTGCTTGAAGTCAGACGTGTTTGTGATGACCCATGGAGGCAACTTTGCAAAGCTGATAATTGGGGCTCGCAGGTACATGGGGCACAGGCTGAAGTCCATCAAACCAGATAAGGGGCTCATGTCCAAATCTTTTGGGGACCCCTACATGGGCTGGGCCACTTTTGTGGAGGATGTGATTATCACCCACCAGACACGTACGGGATTGCCTGAGGAGACCTTCCCCAACTATGACCTGTGGGAGAACCCTCTTACTCCTTGCATGTGTAAAGCATGATCACATAAAGCATGCAATATTGTGGTTTCTGAGTTGAAGTTTCAGACAGTGACTTCATTAGAGGGAATATTTCTTCTCCAAGAATCACGAGGGATGATCGTAAAAAATTCAAAAGTTTTGTTCCGAGCAAGAAATCAACTAATGTACTTGAGGCGAAAAACTGATCATCATCTTTGTCTGAGACATGGTGCCTGAGGAGCAGGTGAGGTGCCGATTTTTTAATGACCATCTGATTGTGAACATGTTATTACGGATAATTTTGTTGCTCTCTGGAAAGCACTAAATGACTTTCTATGTATTATTTTGATGAATGGGTATCATGTATAAAATTAGGGTATTCAAAAATCGAAAGCAGTTGAGGTCTCTTTCATCCAGAGTGTCCTTGGTTTGATCACTTCATCTTAGTATCCAATTGATTTTTCACTACTTGTACCATCCAACTTTCTTGACTCTGCATTCTAACCGCGAGTGTCTTAAACCTTTTTCCTTTTGCCGTTCAAAGAAGGAAGCCATTCGATATTTGGATTCGAATTGGATGGTTTGATTATCTGGACTTGGAGATGGAGTAGGCCGATCCCAGTCATCTAGAGCCTAGAAGCCTAGAACTGAAAAATGTGCTACATGATGCTCCCCAAACTGTGTTACATCGATTCCTAAAAGCTTGTGATGGACAAAGCCACTTTAGGCATTGCCTTGCAGTTGCAGGTTGCAAACGTGCGACAAACAACCGCTCTTACTCTATGTTCTGTTAAAGAATGTGCAGACACACTTTTTGTCCTCGATGAAGCTTCAACTCTTAATGCCAGATGAAGATTGTGGAATATTTTATTATTTATTTACGCTTAACGCAACACAATTATCACATACCAAACTGTAATCAATGTTCGAATGTAAATTGTAAAGGTATCAACACAGTGGCTAAGAGCCTAGAACGCTGCGAATACAAAATGGATTTACTGCTGAAGCTTCAAAACACCTTGCTTATTGCTTACATATCTTTTCCTATGGATATTCTGCATTTTATTTTTTTTAGAAAAAAAAAAAGGATTGAAGGATTATTATCAATCAGTCGATAAGCAATGCGACGCAAAAGGGACACTGATACACATGAATAATTCTGAGGGTGAGGGTCCCTTGCCCAGTGGATGTCTGGTTTGGCTACACCCGGCTGTAGAGATTAGAGACTACAGGCGCGTATTTATAGGATTAATTACTTACACTACCTATATGATTTAGCAAATGAACAATAACTTATTCCACTATTTGAACAAGTACTTGACAATGAGTCAATGAACAAAATTCTCCCAGTCGCATTAAATTAATCAATCATCTAATTAAAAATTAGAAAAGACATAATATAATAGAGAATAGAATGAAGTGCAGGGAGAATAGGGGATGGTGTGTTTTCACTTTTCACTGCTTCTTTTTTCTTCACGGTTCACACACTTGTGAGCAACTGCATGAGAAGAGGGACCACCGACCACGAAATGTGGAAAAGAGAATAGGACCGATGAACCATTACCATTTACCAGCCGACAAATAAAACTTAAAGGTGTGTTTGGATCTGCTCCTGCAGAGCGTGCCTTACACCAACCTCACAGCAAATCCCATGGAGTTCGACTTCAGTCGGTGCAAGTCCATATTCATACCTTTCCAATACTCTCTTGACTCTTGTAGTTTTGCTGATTCAGTCACTGTAAAGCCTGTTCGAACAGAGACCGGATCTGCTCCTCACACAAGCGCCTCACATCGACCACACATGCACATCCTATCATATATTGAGAATATCTCCCGTACTTAAAGATTATTATTGAGGAGAGATGTTTCCAATGCACAGTGGATGTGCCTGTGAGGCGCCCATATGTGAGGAGCAGATCCCGTTCCGTTTGAACAACCATTATAGCCTTACATATATCTCCTCCAGAAGTGCGGACAAGGCTGTAAAGGCTGTTACTGAAGCCGATCCGTGCGAGGAGCAGATCGCATAGCGTAGCCCTGCCCGTAGCCCGTAGAACGTGCTTTATGAAATATGAATGAGCGTCGTCAACACTAACATTAACGCCGTTCATTCTCGCTCTTTTACACAACTTACTGCTGTAAGTAAAGCAAGAATGGGTTTATAGAAAAACAAAAGTAAAGCAAGACTGATCCCTGTCTACTCTTGTCAGTGTCTGAATTTCGAAACAGCTAATACCAGAAGCCATGAAAATCTTCGCTTTCACCTCTCTCTTCTTCTTCACTCTTGTTGTTTCTCACAGGTGCTTCTGTTCTTCTTCCTTCTCTATCTATATATGCTTTTGATGTTGCAAACAGTTGGAGCTTTTTGGAGAAATTATTATACCCCTATTCTCTCTCTAAAATGTTTTTTAGTTTAGATGGTTCCTTGTGAAATGATTAATAGCTCAACTTATCAGTTGCATGAAATTAGAAGCATAGGTGACACCCATTCCAAGCAATTGTTTGCAGCAGCTTTGCTTTTCTATTTGTAAATAAATAAACACATTTACCAAATTCTTTGCAGTTCCTATTTGACTACATGGATTAATGCGTTAGAATGCATTCTCAACAAAATTTTTGCAGCATTTGTTTATGTGTATATACTGTACTGCACTAATTCGTTGTATATGGTCCTATATGGATGAAGCTGAATTTGTTACTTTCATGAAACCTTGGGGAATCAAAACAAACTCAATCATTTTCATGAATTTTTTTGAGGCATTAAGCTCCTGCTTCTGGAAATTATCTTGGGGGAATCAAAACAAACTCCATCATTTTCATGAATTTTTTGAGGCATTAAGCTCCTGCTTCTGGAAATTTTTTGCAATGATAGTTCGCTCATGCGTAAGCTAAGTTTGAAAAATTATTTTTGAATTAACCTGCAGGAATAAAGATCTGCCAAATGTCCAGTAAAATAAATACAAAAAAGTTCACTTAGAGTTTGCTATGGTGTAGGAGTAACATTGGCCCATTAAACTCGGTTTATTAAATGACAAACAAATAGCTGCATACCACATTTTCTGCGGTATTTACTTATATAATATATTATATATATTTGCTTGGGCTCCTGGAGTTTAGCAGTTATCATTCGTCAATTTTGATATTTCATGAAGTAATAAGGAATTAAAAGTTATCCATTTCAGGGGATTAACTGAAGCTTTGTCAACAAGACAACAAGAGCAAGCCCACCTCCCTCCGAGAGGTTGGAACTCATATGATTCCTTTTCATGGACCATCTCAGAGGAGGAGTTCCTGCAAAATGCAGAAATCATCTCTCAGAAGTTACTAAGTCACGGATATAAGGTCAGAATTACAGATAATAAACTCATTTAGGGAATATTTTTTAAGCTAGATAGAATGAAACCATTTTCTATTTTTCTATAGCATTTGAATGCAGAAGCGTATAATCTGATATTAGTGTATTTTGATTTTTGTTAGCATCCCAATAATAGTACCATCTTTAGATGTTGGTTTTATGCTTTCAACTAATTAAGTGAATTGATGTTATTTTACTTAGTTATTGGACGCCAGGATTGTTGTCCAAGTAGATGGAATCCTTTTACATGAAACTTAATCTGCTTTTTCTTTCTTTGTAGTACGTTGTGGTGGATTACCTCTGGTATAGGAGAAAGGTGGAAGGTGCTTACACAAATTCACTTGGATATGATGTGATAGATGAATGGGGAAGGGTAATCCCTGATCCCAATAGATGGCCTTCCTCCAGAGGTGGTAAAGGATTCACTGAAGTAGCCAAGAGAGTACATGATATGGGATTGAAGTTTGGGATTCATGTTATGAGAGGAATAAGCACACAGGCAGTCAATGCAAACTCTCCCATCTTAGATGTTTTCAAGGTATGGGTCTTTTTTCCCCTTATATATTAACAAAGAACTGAAAGTAAATGCTCCTTGGCAGGTAAGAATGCTATTGGAGATTGTTTTTTACCAACAAATGAGAAGGGGAAACCTGAATATATGAATCCTCATTATACATAATGACAAGTTTTTCTGTTAGGGAGCTGCATATGAGGAGTCTGGACGTCAGTGGCAGGCAAAAGATATAGGACTGAGAGAGAGGGCTTGCGCATGGATGTCACAGGGTTTCATGAGTGTGGATACCAAGTTGGGAGCTGGAAGAGCCTTCTTGAGGTCATTGTATTACCAGTATGCAGAATGGGGTGTTGATTTTGGTATCAAATTAACAACTAAAATTCTTCCTGTTATTTATTTATTTATTTATTTTGTATTTTCAATGGACATGGAGCATGATAAAATTATGATTCCATACAGATGAACATAAGGAACAGAAATCATTCCCTTTTAATACTTATTGGTAAATATACTAGTGATTGTTGTACAGAAACAACTACATCTGTTATTAAGTACTGTGATATGGAAGTATATGGAATTTGACAAGAACCAAGCATTTGACTAAAGTGATTATGTATTTTGTTAGGTAATTTTTGAGTCCTGAATAGTTTAGTAAATAGATGTTGGTCTTGTTCCAGTAAAGCATGATTGCATATTTGGTGATGACTTGGATGTAGATGAAATAAGTGCTGTTTCAGAGGTAAGCAATAACCTTCTCCTTGTTCCACTGCATTCTTTCTTTCTTTTCCCTTATCATTTTGTCAGGTTATAAATTTCTATTTTGAAGGAGTTATGAATTCATGAGGTGAAACTTCTTGTCAGATCTTGGAGAAGCTTGACCGCCCTATGTTGTATTCTCTCTCTCCTGGAACTAGTGTAACACCTACCATGGCGAAGGATATAAGCAGTCTTGTGAACATGTACAGAATAACAGGGGATGATTGGGATTCATGGGGCGATGTGGCAGCTCACTTTAACATATCAAGGCAAACTGTTGTTCTTTAATTCCGTTTGATTTTTTTTTTATTTGGGTTGAAATTTCCAACTTAAGCTCCGTGTTCCATCTCTCTCTCTCTCTCTCTCTCAGCATCTTATATTTACTGTTCTAACAGGGACTTTGCTGCCACCAATATGATAGGAGCAAATGGCTTGAAAGGGAAGTCTTGGCCAGACCTAGACATGCTACCACTAGGATGGCTTACAGATCCAGGTGATTAATTTTGCAGATATCGGGTATGGAACATTTGTCCTTTCTATGTCAACACCGACCCAGATGACATTTTCCTTCTGGGCTGTGTTTGGTTTGAAAGAAAAGGTAGGGAAAGGTACCTTGTAAAGGTTTCCCTACCTTTTTCCTTCAAACCAAACACAGCCTTGAGGAATGAGTAGGTCGGGTTCAACCCAAAATCTCAAATATGCATGTGCTATTGTCTTCTTGCCAAGATACCATCAAGCAGGTCTTGGATCATTGGAACAGAAGTAAAGATGACCTAGTTACTTTATATTAAGGAGAACTAAATTTCTTTGAACCACTATGCAGCAATTATTGTTTAATCCTTTTTTTTTAGCTATCTAATATGTCATGCCTTGATCTGAACTGTCTAAGCATGCCAAACTTTAAGAGGTTCACAAGTGAGGCATACCTTTTGGTAACATCTGAAGAAAACACTAATTAATTCAGATATTTTCTTACTACTAGGTTCAAATCTAGGTCCCCACAGGAAATGCAATCTCACTCTTGATGAGCAAAGAACTCAGGTATGTAGATGTATTATTTAGTCAACTTGGTGTCCCTTTTAACCATTTGGCTTTGTTTCTTAACCGTGGTAAATTTTATTTCATCAACAGATGACTTTGTGGTCTATAGCCAAGTCCCCTCTCATGTTTGGAGGTGATATGAGGAAGCTAGACAAGAAAACATATGATCTCATCACCAATCCTACCCTATTGGAAATAAACTGGTTTAGTGCAAACAATATGGAGGTATACTCCCTATTTTGCTCAATTAGTGATTTCCATGTAAACCAAATAAGAGGTGCATTATTGGCTCATTTCCCTGTTCTACTTTTCAGTTTCCTTACATCAGAGGTACAGAAGATCTCAGAAATAGCAAAGGAGTCCTGATTCCTCAATCTAAAAGTCTCAAGGATACAGACACATTACATAAACACGTTTTCAATCTTATAAGCTGTAAGGAACATAGAGCAAAAGGTTGGGTCATTGAAGCACTCAATCAAGATATTGAAAGAATTTGCTGGCAAGATTACTTCCTGAAAAGACACAAGCTACCAGTTTGCCTAAACAAGAGAAAACCTCTCCTGACATCGTATGAAAGTTAGCTATTGCCTTTTCTAATCTTTCCATGTAAAAACTAAATATTGTTTATATTATTATTTTATTATTCCTTAAGTTATTCTCATTTGCTGATTATACAGAGATTCAGAGATAATTTACAAAGAGAACCATCAAGGAAAGCTCCATTTACTAGCAACAGGCACCACAGATATATGCTTGGATGCTTCTACAAACAGGAAACTTGCTTCACATGAACTGAGGAGTTGTTCATTGTCCCCTTGCAGATGGGATGCTAATCAGGTAATTCTCCAGTTCTGTCCAAGGTGTGAAATTTCAATTTTGGAGATCCCTTTGAGATATAATTTGCTAAAGTCTAGTGAAAATGTTGGACAAGTGTAACAAAAAAAAAATCCATGCTGACAATAATTTTATTGGCAGTTAAGTTGCATAGTTTGTATTCTTCCAGTAAATTTCATAGTTTCCATTTGGGGTCATATTGAGTCAATGAATCTAATCCAGTTTCAAACAGAACTAAATTAATCGAATAGCTATACATATAGTGGCATTTATTATGTAAGGCAAAAAATGCAATAAATCTGGAAGTCTGAAGTAAAAAAATAACGCATACCTAGTGGATAAAAAAAGGTAAGGAAATGACTTTCTAAGAAGAGGAAATTGTATGACATATTAGATGCAACTAACATTGCCTGTGTTCAACAGATGTGGGAGTTAAACTTTAATGGGACACTTGTGAACAGCTATTCTGGTCTTTGTGCAACAGTAAAGATGGTTGAAGGTGATATATTTAATTGTGTTTGATTCCCTTTTGTGTATATATTTTTCATAGATGGTGCATTTGAAAGCTAATGTTTTGGAATAATTAACTGATCATTCAAGCAGGTAATGATATTTATAATGGAATCCGCTCTTGGGTTGCAACTGGAAGACAAGGTCTGATTGCTTAACATCATCCACCCATTTTCCCTTAATTTTTGTGAGTTTTGTTGGGTGGAGACGCCCTTAAAAAGCTATCCTTTAGCTTTGACATTAATTGTATTTTACGTAGATCCTTGGCATCAACATCACTTTAGCTTTTACTAAGAAAATGGCTAGCCACTAGTTTGCCACTTATATTTTGGACAATCTTCTTGTGCCCAATACTCTAATTTTATGTTTTTTTCCTTTTGGTTTCCCCATCCTTAATATATTTTCTTGCTTTGCAGGAGAGATATACATCTCATTTTTCAATCTGAGCCCTAGCAGAATGATAATATCTGCAAAGATATCAGATCTTCTTAAGGTACTTCCTAATATGAACTTGAGTAAAACTTCATGTACGTACAATGAGGTTTTTAGTGAGAAAGAGTATAGAGTGTCTGAAGAAACGATATCAGCAACAGTTGAGGCACATGCTTCAGCATTATTCATATTGCACTGTAATTAATTCAGCTTGCTTTTTCTTTTCTTTTTTTTTTTTTTTTTTTTTTTTTTTTTTGGGGGGGGGGGGTAATTATAGTGATTAGATCAGAATGAAAACACCACTTCTACTTGCTGTTGATGAATTTCTGATCGAGTATTTCAACATTTAGCACAAATATCACATACAGAGCATCTGAAACTTGAACTGGAAATATGTTGGGTAATTTATGCAGGATTAAGTTTGCATTTATATCTATAAGCGAGTTTCTAATCTGAGTATTTCAACATTTAGCATAAATATCACATACAGAGCGTCCAAAACTTGAACCGGAAATATGTTGGATAATTTATGCAGGATTAAATTTATATTTATATCTATAAGCGAGTTTCTTGAGATAAGGGGCCATTACTTGGTGTAATTATAAAATTTCAGGTTGACGATTTGAATGAGAGAGTTCAGGTCTGAGAATAGCCAGTGGTCGCTTTGTGCAAGAAAATTCTGAAGACTGAAGGTTTGGTTTTTATCCAGTCCATCCCTCCAAAGCAGTATCTATGAATTCCTTTCAGTTTATCTTAAAAACCAAGAACCTTAGAGCGCTTCTCTGGGAGGGGTAAACCGGATATGAACCCAACCTCGAAGTAACTGCTCACTGCAGGCTGGAAGGAGACCTACAGCAACAGGGAATTCAATTGATAAAAAGTTGACCTTAAATCAATGAGTTTTAAAAAATTCATCAAATTCATACCCTAAATAATTCTGTAAATTGGAAACAATACAGAATCTGATTTGAGGTCAGGTTTCAGATATACCTTTCTTGCTCAAATCCAGATCAGTTGTGGAGGGTGGATTTAGGCCCACTGATCGAATGGAAACATGGCAAAATACTAAAAGTCAGCTGAAAGCTGAGATAGCCGTGGCCCCCCAGATGGCTTCAATGAGACGATTCAAGGAGACGTGGAGATTGGAAAGTGTTTCCCAGTATGTGTTAAATTGTTTTTGTTTCTTCTTCTTTCTCTCGGCTTTGATACCCACGTATTCATGTATATTGTGTTGAGCTCAAAAATTCATTTTTGGTATTTCTATCAACCTATTCATGAGAGTTGACCTCAACTGAAGAACGTGTTTTGATTTTCACAGAAGGGACGAGAGGGATGCATCATGCATGAATGGAAAGTTAAAATGTGTTTGGAGGAAGAAGGTGTTTTCTGTTTTCAGAGAGTTTCTACTTTTTAGGCGTTTGTTTGCGTGCACGTTTATTTTTGTTGCAAATTTTGTCGTGTGATTAAATTGCTTTCGCCTTTCGGTTTTCCGATCAAAATTGGAGTGGCAATTGGCAAATGGACGGGTTATACTGGAATCTGGATGTATGCTTGTAGGCGTAGGAATAGGATGAAGTAAAGAATTCACTCAATTCAGAGAGAGAGAGAGGGTGGGTGGGGTGGTGGTCCAAGAACATGGGTGGCCGGCTTATCAGATGTCATCACTGATGTCATGTATGATGTAGATGCCATGCCATCATCATTCGCATTGATTCATTGATGGGGCTCTATTTTATGATACATCTTTTAGTTTTTCATGGAAATTATAAGAATGCCACTCTTTACCAATTCTTTTGTTTTTTTTTCTTTCAAATTACAAGAATGCCACTCTTTCTTATCAACTCTCTCGCTCTTGATTTTTTCTTTCAAATTATAAGAATGCCATTCCCTTCTACCAATTCTCTCTTTCTCTTCTCTTTTTCTTACAAATTATAAGAATGTCATCTCTTTTTTTAAATTACAAGAATGTCACTCTCTCTCAAATTGAGGGAGACCTTAGCTCGGCATCTCGCCTGTTTGGGGATCTGTAGTCAAAGGTTGTCGAGACCTCAGTTCGGCATCTCGCCTACTGGGGGACCTGTAATCAAAGGTAGTCAAGTTCGAGCTGAGCCGAACTCGAACTTCTGAGCTCAAACTCAAGTTTCTAATTCGAATCGAGCTCGAGCTAGACGACACCTCGACCATTGAGGAAGACCTCGGCTCAACACCTCGATCACTGAAGAAGATCTCGGCTCAGCATCTCGACAATTGAGGGAGACCTCAGCTCAGCACCTTGTCAAGTAAGGGAGACCATAGCTCGACCCCTCGCCTACTAAGGAAACCTCAACTCAACACTTCAGTAGATGAGGGAGACCTCGGTTTGGCACCTCGGCACTTGAGAGACTTCGGCTCAGCACCTTGGCTACTTGAGAGAGCTGCAATCAAAAGTAGGCGAGCTCGAATTTTCAAGCTTTTGACTTGAGCCGAGCTTGAACTCGAACTCAAATCTCTAATTCGAATCAAGCTCAAACCTGATAGTTTATGAGAGAGCCCCTGCAACACAGAACCCTCTTCGCTAATTTAATATTTAAGCAATATGTGAAAGAGGAGATTGGAGAAGCAGCCCAAAGTCTAACCCAAGCTCCTTATAGGCTTATAGTCTTTTACCCGTATTATATAAATATAATGGAATCTTGGTTGGGCCCAAATTAATCCACTTACATGATTAATTAATAATAATTGTGCACTGTTTTCTTTTCTCTTTTCTAGAAAGGCAATTATAAAATTTGTGTTGGAGATGATAAGGTCTCTTACCCCATAAAATCATGGAAAGACTAAAAGCGTGGGAAGTGGGAACCTTCGAATCTCATCTCATCTCGTATTATTGCACTTTCGTGATCCTGCCCCATAAAAACTCTTTCTCCATTATTTATTAATCTTTTCAACCAACCAGTCACAGTCCTTAATTCCTAAGCACCAAAATAAAACGAGATTCAACAGATTTTAAATCACTTACAATTGCCTTTTTCTTTTATTTTTTACCTTTTTACTGCTCTGCTCTGCTCAGCCTGAGCAGATAGTGGAATTTGAATGGCCAAGCTTGGCTTTCCTTTCTACTTTCCAGGTCCAAGGACTCCAAATAAACATATATTAAAAGATACCGCTAAGTCTGGATCTACTTCTCCACTCACACATAATTCATAAAAATGTGTGTAGTGTAAATATATATCAAAATCGAGAAGACCCCCACCCATTTCTCTTGAATTCTGTATGTCTTCGGTAAATTTCTTAAATTATTCTTATGGTTTAGTTAATTGATTAAGTATACCTTTATTATTTGACTATTATCTAATGTTACCTCTATTGTTTCTAACAATTGATTAGATCTATCCTTATTGTTAACATCTGCCAATATTCCGTCAAAACCTATACACATGTGACACTACGTGACATTTAAATTTTTTTTAAAACCCAATATTACCCTAATCCCCTTCCTCTCAATCGGCAGGTCCAGCACCCCCCTTCCTCCTCCGACCTCTCTCGCTTCCCTCTTTCATTCCCTTTCTTCATTTTCTCCTTCTCTTTCTAAAACAAGAACCCTCCTCCAACCTCTCTTCCCTCTGTTTGTTTGTGTAGGATAGGAGAACAACAACAACTCTCATAGCAATCATAGTGGATAGAGCCACTGGAGAGATCGGCAACAGCAGAGAAGAAATCATGAAGACCATGTTCGAATTGGAAAAATCCTCTCCTGCTAAGATATTCTCTAGCGCTCTTTCATTTCCTTCATCTTTGTAAGCCCTAGATGAGATTACTTCTCTTCTTTATGATCTTAGATTGAACTGGTTTGATTTGGGGAGAGATGTATTAGATTAGGGTTAGGTAGGGGAAATGATAAAGCAGAGGCGGAATTTGCAGAAAGTAGAAAGTAGCAAGCATCGCCACCAACAATAACGTCAATAGCAAAGTAGAGGCAGAAGTAGGAAAAAAAATCTCATTTTTTTCCTTTTTTATGGCTTAGGTCTTGTTCATTATCTGCTCTCTAAGAAATCTCTAGCACCAAGCTCTAATTCTACCCCAAGGAGGTTCTTTAAGAAGCCTTTTCCACCACCATCTCTCTCCAAGCATATCCAGGCAGTGTTGGATCTTCTTCAAGAGCCTCCCTTTCTTAGATCTCTCTATTTCTATTTTTGCAACCTTCGATCTTCTTGGACAGGATTTGAACGAGTTAGAGAAAAAAGTGTGTTGAAAGAGAGAGAGACTTCATTGTGCGTAGGTGAAGAGTGAGAAAATGAGAGATAGGAGAGAAAACTGTTTTTAAAGGGATTTAACAGAAGGGTAAAATTGAGATTTTAGCCCTTCCGTCAATATTTAAAGATATTTAAAGACAATGACAATTTTTTTTTGAGAGAATAGGGGTAGCGTTAGAGAATAGTCAAAGAAATTTGCCCAATAAATAAATCAAAGTACCAACAACCAAGTGAGTCCCGTATTTATATAAATCAAAGCCAAAGGTTGCTCGCAAGGTTTCATTTCAGCTTATCACAGAAACGAGGAGAGGAGAAGACTGGAGAGGGTGCTGCATACTCATCTGTGGAGTGTGGAGTGCAGATGCACGCACACCTTCTTCCAAGGCTCTAATTCTAACTTCCTCCTGTTCTTCACTCTTCTCTCTCGCTTCTCTTCCTTTCCAGAAAAGAAAGGTTTTCTTTGATAAAATGGACCTTGCAACGGGAGCTGCTTCTTCTTCCCCTTACTTCACTAGGTTTTCCAATCCCTACTCTTACCGTCGTATTTCTTCCAGCTTGAAAACTTACAGACACAAACATGTCCATTCCCTCGCGGAGCCCATCAAGTGCCATCGAAATCCAAATCCTATTCTTAGCTTCTCCTGTTCCTCCGCCCTCACTGAAACTCCGCTAGGAGTCTCTGAGATTTCCAGTTGCAAGCTTCAACGTTTTGTCTCTGAGTTCCAATCGCTGTCCGAGCCGATTGATCGCGTTAAACGTTTGTTGCATTACGCCACTCTTCTTCCTCCTTTCCATGACACGAAGCGTGTCCCGGCCAATCGAGTCATGGGCTGCACCGCGCAGGTTTGGTTGGACGTCTCCATGGATGACTACGGAAGGATGAGATTCTCCGCCGATAGTGACTCCGAGATCGCCAAGGGCTTCTCTTCCTGCTTGGTTTCCATACTCGACGGAGCGTTCCCCGACGAGGTTCTGGCGTTGAAGACCGAGGATTTCGCCGCACTGAATGTTGGGCTTCCTGGCCGCGCTCATTCCCGGGTGAACACGTGGCATAACGTGTTGATCACTATGCAGAAGAGGACTAAATCTCTGCTTGCTGCGAGAGAAGGGAAGCCTCAAGCCTCCCGTCGATCCTTTCCCATCTCTGGTTGTCACAATCGACGTTATTCATGCCAACGGGAGCTATGCTGAAGCTCAGGTTGGCAACCGCTTGCCTTATTTGTATCCCTGAAATTTCTATTCTATTTCTTGTCTTCTTTCTTTTTCTGTTTCCAGTGTTCTTTGCTTACGAAGGAGAAATAGAAAATGATAAAATCTCCAAAAGAAGTTAGAAGTCTTTTCTCCAACTTCGTTGGGCTCAGCATTTTTTTAACATAATCGTATTTCAGGTGTATGCTCTTACTCACGCATGGCATTCTCGTGAACTCCATTTAAATGGCATAGAATAGGAGTGTAGGCATTAAGAACTTGATGAGCGATAGATGTTGTCAAAATGTATATCGTTGGGTTCAGCATTTTTAAATATATTCGTATTTCAATTGTATGCTTACTCATGTATGTGGTTCAATCTCTGTTTAATTGGCACACTGTAGGCCACAAGAACTTGACGAGTGACGGATGTTGTCAAAATGTAACACCCTTGAGATTTTGACAAGATCTGTTAAAGAAAGAGTAACTTGCACATACTTATCAAAAAAATACAAAAAAGAGTAATTTACACATCAATCAATTTCAGCTAATGGCAATTTCAACATCAGTTTTACATTTGGTCCACGTGATTTGCGTAACAATTAAAGTGGTGTTCAATTCATGGTTGTAAATAAAGGTGGTATGGTTCCAGAACCATATCGGTCTTTTTTTTTTTCTATGAAAATGACAATTTTTTTAGGAACCACAAAATGCAAAAGAGGCTGTTCTATTCATGGTTCAAAAAATGAACCATGATATGTGAGCATTGGTTTTATGATTCATTCACTATCTACTTTTAATTGTACAGTCATCATCAAATAGAGACATTACGACTAGAGCCATAGTGGTTGAGAAAGTTATAAGAAGTTGTGTTAAAAAAGGCCATTTTGCTGTTTCTAGAACCAAGGATTGCTGGTTCTGGAACCAGTAATAACATACAAAATGCTGGCTATGTTTGTGAGCTAGATGAAACACAAACATAACCATGAACTGAAAACCCCTAAATCACCACTTTTAAGAACAAATTTCATGAAGTGCGATCAGTTGAGGTCTTGGTGTAAAATAAGTTCTGCTTGGAGAATGACTGCATTGGTATTAAATCCAAACAAAGTTTGACTAATCTAGTTTTGGACCAATTCAAGGGAAGAAGATTCATCTAATCAAATCCCCACCCAAAA